AAACCCTAAATAATCCATGAACAGCCAATGAAATTAAAGCAGTGATGACAACCTACCAACATGAAGACCATCAACAGAAATAAAATAATATAAGACGACAAATCCAGGCTAGACCTACAAAAGGTGTATTTTATTACCTATTTTTTTGTCAAGAGATTGTACCAGATTTCTAGAGAGGAGACATTCTAAATCTAATTAGAACTTCAGTATGCATCGTTTATACTTTTTTATTAGTACATGTTTGCCCTACATTCATTGCAGATAATTGACACATGTATATGACACATCTTAATTCTTTTTGTAGTCCTTTACCATCCTCATCTCTTCTCCCTCCATATTCCTTTCTATTTGCCGGAAATCTGTCTCCCTATTTACTGCTGTCTACCTTTGATTTTGCTCTTTGATTTATCTATACTTTGGGTTTCTTTTTTTTTTTTTTTTGTCTTTTTGAGACAGGGTCTCGCTATGCAGTTCATTCTGGCATTGAGCTCACTTTGTGGCCCAGGCTGGTCTCGAACTCGCAGCAACTCTCTTGCTTCAGCCTCCCAAGTGCTGGGATTACAGGTGGATGTCACCATGCCCAGCTTCAGAGTCTACTATCTTATTATCAATTATATTTCATTTATCATATAAATTACTTTCTGCTACTTACCTTAAGCTTTTCTTTTACTTTTCAACTATCTTCTGTCTTAACATAATGTCTATTTTTTTTTAACCACATTTATCAATTGCCTCTTAAGTGACAGACACTGTAGATGGGGGTACATGGTGGTGAACAAGACAAATAATGGTTGCTCAATCCATGTTTTCTAAATGCACTGTTTTAGGTTTTCTACCAATTGGAACTTTGGTTATATCCTACAAATAAAAACTTGTAAGTAACAGATTATTATTAATCACTAAATAGTCTAAAACTTTAGATTTGATGTTTTTAATCTTAAAAAGTTTATGGAAATTTTCAAATATATATAAAGGTAGTAAAAATTCATAATGGGGGCCAGAATATAGATCAGTAGCACAGCACCTGCCTGGCAAGGGCAAGGTCCTAAGTTTGATTCTCAGTCAAAAAAAAAAAAAAAAACACAATAAACTCTGCGTATCATTATTCCGATTCAATACTTAGCAACATTTTGCCAAGCTTATTTCATCTTTCATTCTCATCTTTTTCCAGTCATTTAGAGGGACACATTCTGAGGAATGTATCTTTAGGCAATTTCATTGTACAAATATCATAACGTGTACTTTAACACAGTAAGATAGATATGACATTAATAGGTGATATAATCTAATAGGACCACTGTAGTATAGTGGCTAACTGTTGACTGAAACATCATTATATGGTGCTTGACTGTATTTTAAAGCAAATCATAGGGCATGACATAATTTCATCTTATACTTCAGTACAGGTGCATAACACATAAAGACTTAAACACACACACACACACACCCATTAATCCCATCATCCTGCCCAATGTACGGAACAATTCATTTCTTAGTATCATTTAATATCCAATCCATGTTTGCATTCCCACAATACATTAAATGTTTTCATTTATTTGTCCCAATCAGGATTGCACTGTCTGTATTGCTGTTTCCTTGATGCTCTGGCATTGGAGGCCTTGATCTCAAAGAGATCTCATAGGCTAGCTAATCCACTGGTAGCAAACAACTTCACTGTGGACAGGCCTTTACTATTAATCCACAGTGCCTACACCTAACCATCACTTTTATCAAACCCATATACTATGTCACCATTCCCCCTGCCCTAAACCACCCCACCCAGAGCCTGCCAAGATCAAACTATCCAATCCTAAACTTAGTGTGCCTACTTTCCCTTGCCCATTCTTTCTCACAAAATTACTAATAAAGGCTTTGAGCTCTGCTCTCTCACTTTTACTTAGAGAGACTTGAGGGCTTCTCCACATTGCTTTGTATGGCAAGCTGTGCCTGTATTTAGGGACTGGAGTATAAACTTTTTTCATGATAATCATCTCTATGCCTGCCTGTGTTGCCATGCATTAAAGCATATCCCAAGTTACATTTTTTATTTTAAAAATTTTTTAAATTTTTGTTTTTTTGAGACAGTCTCACTCTGTAATTTAGGCTGGCCCTAAACTCACGATGTAGTCTAGGCTGTCCTTGAATTTGAGGCAATCCTCCTGCCTCAGCCTCTTGAGTACTAGGATTACAGGTGTGTGCAACCACATCTGGCTCCAAGTACATTTTCTAAGTGCAGGATACCAATATGCTCCATATGTTATACAGTTATACCTTAGTATTCAACTGCCTTGAAATTCATTAAAACTTTGTTCCAGTACTAATAGTTTGGATTTGATGTTTTGTTTGATGTCAAACTAATAGTTTGACATGCAAGCTAGCACTTGTCCTGTTGACTGACTGCCTTGTGACCTGCTATTCTTTCCAGCCCAATTTGGTGCTCCTTGCTTGTGGTATGGGTTGTACCTTCTGGAATCAGTATTGAGGTACCACTATAGGATTGATTTTAACTTTCTTGACATGTACTAGTTAGGAAATGAAGGCATTAGTTTAGTAAAATTTCCCAAATTTTGGATGTAGCTGTTTGCTTCTTTGTGTCATTAATTTTTTAAAAATTCTACATATTTCCTGGTAACTGGTAATTAGATTCAGGGATTCAACTGTAATTCTAAGTCAATATTTTTTGGCAAGAATATTTCACAGGAGATGCTCTGTACATTGACTGCATCACAACAAAAAAGTGTATAGTCTGGGTGATCTCATTTAGGGGTGTTAATTTAGACAATATAGATTGTAGAATATATGGTTTTTAATTAAATTGGAAAAGAATTTCACACTTCCAACATATCAATGAGAGTAAGATTTTTGAAGTTCAATAAGCAATGAATGTTGGTGGAAGCCATTTCTATATTCATCATGCCTATAGTTTTCCACATGAATTCTCCAAAGAGTAACATTAAGGATGATAGTAAAATAAAATATACTTGCCTAAAAAATTTTATTATTATTTCATGACTATACATCAGGAGCCTGAGCAGAGATACAGCTGGTTGATTCTTCTGTTCTTTTTCTTTTAATGGTAGCAAAGTTTTGTATTTATTAAAGGTAGGAAAAGAAACAAGTTCTGCAGGGCAAATTTGGGGCATGTAAAAGTAGGAAAAGAAGTTTGCTCTACAGGAGAGAGCAGGCTGCTGTGAAGGGACACAGTAGCTGATTCTTCTGTTCTTTATGGTATCAGCTAAGATTGCTCATGGTGTTCAACTGGTGGCTGATCTGGAGAATCCAAAACTGTCGTACTCAAATGTTTGGTGCTTTATCAGGTATATCTGGAAGACTAGATTTAGCAAGGTGCCTCTCCCTGTTTATGTAGTCTCAGAGCCTCTCTATGCGGGCTCTTCAGCAAAGAGGTCAGACTTTTTCACATGACAAGTTAGGGCATACGAAAGTATTTCAAGGAATGAAGTAACCCCAAGACAGGCCTGGTGGGTACCCATGATCCCAGCACTATGAGAGGCTGAGGCAGGAAGATTGTCAGTTTGAGCCTACCTTGGGCAACTTAGTAACACCCTGTCTCAAAATAAAATAAATAAATAAATAAATAAATAAATAAGGCTGGGGGTATAGTTCAGTGCCCAGAAATTGGCACAAAAGTATTACTATTATATTCTATTGGGGAAAGCAATCACAGAGTCTGCTCATACTCAAGAGAAGGGATGTGGATTCCATCTCTTGATGGAAAAAATGTCAAAGAATTTGCAGCCATTTTTTGTCACAGTTTTATATCACCATTTTACGAAGAAAGAAGTTATAGCACAGAGCAATTAAGTGCCTTATTTAATATAACACAAGTAGGAAAGTGATGGAACAGAGATAAGTATCTTTCCCACATTTGTTATATTAATAGAGTTAGTTTTTTAAACTAATGTGCTGAAACTTCAAGTTTGAATGATGGTAGAATATATTAACACTCCTTCAACGGCATAAAATCTCTTTGCCTAATCAAAACATCTGTGAAGCAAAAGAGATTATTACATTCATACAAGGTTCATAACATAGGACTGATTAGACTTCCTTATATTTTTACATTATGAATTCTCAGATGATGGGTAAGATGTGAATGTTGTCTAAAGGCTTTCTTACATTCTTTACATTCATACGGTTTCTCACCAGAATGAATTCTTAAATGCTGAATAAGAGATGAATTAAGTCTAAAGGCCTTTCTACATTCTTTACACTCAAAAGGTTTCTCACCAGTATGAATGCTCTGATGTAAAGTAAGTTTTTGGCGCAACCTAAAGGCTTTCCCACATTCCTTACATTTATAGGGTTTCTCACCGATATGAATACTCTGATGTTGTGTAAGTTGTGAGAGTAGTCTAAAAGCCTTTCCACATTCCTTACAATCATAAGGTTTAATACCAATATGAATACTCTGGTGTGAAATAAGTTGTGAGTAACGGCTAAAAGCCTTCCAGCATTCCTTACATTCATAAGGTTTCTCACCAGTGTGAATTCTGTGATGGAGAATAAGATGATAACCACGACTAAAAGTCTTTCCACATTCCTTACATTCATAGGGCTTCTCACCAGTATGGATCCTCTGATGGAGTGTTAGTTGTTGTCGTACTCTAAAGGCCTTCCCACATTCCTTACACTCATAGGGTTTCTCACCTGTATGAAGTTTGTGATGTACTCTAAGGCCAGAGCCACACAGAAAGTCCTTCCCACATTCTTTACACTCATAGAGTCTGTCAGCAATATTAAGCTTCTGATGTCGAGTTAGGTGTGCATACTGTCTAAAGGCCTTCCCACATTCTTTACATACATAAGGTTTCTCACCGGTATGAATCCTCTGATGAAGCGTAAGTTGTCCTCGTACCCTAAAGGCCTTCCCACATTCTTTACATTCATAGGGCTTCTCACCAACATGAATTTTCTGATGTACTCTGAGGTCCGGACCACATATGAAAGCTTCCCCACACTCCTTACATTCATAAAGTTTTTCACCAGAATGAAGTCTCTGATGTCGAGTAAGGTGTGCAGTTTGCCTAAAGGCCATCCCACATTCCTTACATTCATAGGGTTTTTCACCAGTATGAATTCTGTAATGAAAAGTAAGTTGTTGGCGCACTCTAAAAGCCTTCCCACATTCCTTACATTCATAGGGTTTCTCCACAAAATGAATCTCCTGATGTGCAGTAACAGGCGTGTGCTTTTGGTAAGAGGATACTTTTTCGGATATAACTTTCACTTGATTGAAATAATTCTCTTGAGGTCCCTCTTGTCCTTCAACTTTTCTTTTGGACTCCCAGTCATTTTTAAAAAGGAAACCCTTAAGGCCATGGTTTTTTATTCTTTCCATTATCTTCCACTGGGATAAATTTAATTCATAAATGTTATTTTCTGAAAATAACTTCTTGGTTTCATAACTAGCCTCCAAATCTGAAAGAAAAAAAGAAAGCAAACACATGCTGTTTTCTTTTTCTAAAAAACATAAATTTTACAGTTGAAATAAGACAACAAAAGTAATAGTCAACCAAACTTGAATACTGTAACATAATCTGAAAAAGAGAAAAAAGGCAAAGGGAGAAATGGTGAGTGCATATAAGTACAGGAGATTATTGATTAAGCAAACATTTTAAAACAGTGGGTCTCAAATTGATGTTTGCAATAACTTTTAAATGTGATGGAGAATAAGATGATAGCAGATGATTGCAATAACTTTTAAAATACAGCTGATTGCAATAACTTAAAATACAACTACCATGGATTATTTTTCTGGACTATATAACTGATCATTTTTTTGAGACAAAGTCTCACTATGTAGCCCAGGTTGGCCTTGAACTCATGGCAATTCTACTGCTTCAGCCTCCCAAGTGCTGGGATTACAGATGTGTACCACTACACTTAGCTTATCATGTTTAAACCAATAAATTTCCACAGAACAAATGAAGAATGTGGTCAGGCTTACCATCTGCTTCCTCAGAAAAAAGTTTTTTTCCCCTTTAGTAGTACTGGGGATTGAACCCAGAAATACTATCACTGAGATACATCCTCCGCCCTTTTCTTTTTTAACTTTGAGACAGGGTCTCACTAAACTCATGGCAGGACTTGAACTTATGATCCTTCTGGCTTAGCTTTCCTGAATACTGCACTGGAATTATAGTATGGACCACCACATCCAGATCCTAAGAAAAAGCTTTAAAAGAGTTTCTAAAAGCTGGTTGTGGTGGGATTCATGTAATCCCAGTGGATTCGTGTGGGATTCGTGTAATCCCAGTGCTCTGGGAGACTGAGACAGAAGAATGCAAGTGTAAGCCCACACTGCACAACTTAGTGATTTAATAAGACCCCATCTCAAACTAAAAAAAAAGAAAGGGATGAGGTTGTAGCACACTATAAAGGCCCTGGGTTCACTCTCCAGTACTGCCAAAAGAAAAGTTATTAAAACTGATGGAGACCACTATGAAGCAGCTCTGAGCAGGATTTACATTAACCAATTGGTTTTTCATGTTTACTTGTGAGTTTGTCCAAGGCCTAGCCCCCTTGTCTGGAGCTTGGCAGAGGACTCATAGTAAGTGAACCTCTGTGGGTCACTGGTCCTAACTGAATGAGACCTATAGTGGCCAATGAGACAAAGGACAGGACAAGGCCAGAGCTAAGGACACCTGGCTCCAACCTCAATTAACTAGATAAAGACTGTAGTTGCAGGCATCTCACTCCTGGGTAGAGACCTTCCTAGAGATAACATAGTTCTCCTAAATTAACATAATGTCTTACTTGGAGAAGCCCTTGAGCAGAGTTCCCAGGTCCTTGAACAGCCCTGCCATTAAAGGTAGAATCCTGCCCTTCTTCAGTATCCATCCCCCGACCCCCACCGCTTGGTTCTGATGACTAAATAAATACAGGCCACCCAGACAAGATCTTTGTCTTAGATCCCAGAGAATGTCAAATTCTGTAAGAGAGTTTTGATCCTCTTGGAGCCCTGAAATCAGTCAATTTGTCTCTTTTATTTAGCCTTTACTGCCAGCTGTTTGGGAGGTTGAGGACCTGATCAGTCTGCAACAACTAAGGGATAATATTAACATGATATAAACCTTTAAAGACAAGCCATCTAAATCCAAATTCTATTTCAATTGAGTAAAAAAAGAAAAACTTCTAAACTGTTTTTATAAAATGACAGTGCACTAAATGAAAATGGCTCACAAAACAAAAACTATATAGTGATTTTCTATAAAACAGCACACTGAAAAATCCATTATCATTTATTACAAAAATGTTAAAGTAGGCTAAGTATAAGAGCCACATGTCCAAAATAATAGAAAACTTTCTTCCACTATTCTTTGATTGTATTATTTTTCATTTGTATTTTTAATTTTTTTATTCTTTGCTGTTTTCCTCCTTCTGTATATTCCCCCTCCCCCCGTACTTTTATTTCATTATTTTTCCCTTTTCCTTTTATGAGGATGTCTGTTTGTGTATGTGTGCTTATTTCCCTCTTGCCTTTTTTTCGCCCAGTATAGTTTATAGAGGGTAAGGGAATTCTCCCTTGTCCCTTTATATATTTCCTACTTTTATCTCTTCACCTGACTTCTTTCTCCTGTATCTTATTCATTCTTAATTTTTCTTTTCTTTCCTCTCTCCCTTATTAATGGTCTCCCTTTAACTTTGTCTCTCATATTTAAATCAGTCATAGAATCTTTTCCCATCCCCATTTCTCACTACCAATTTTGTGCCCAGTTTTCCCTGTTAACCTCTTGTAAATATATAACATACCCTTACCATCATTAGCATCTTCCCCCTCCCAATTTCCTTCTTCCCATTCTGCATAGCAGATGACTTTAAAAGCCAAACCTTTTTCTCTTCATTTCCCTCCTGTGGCATTAACCAGTGCTCAATTCCCTGAGCTTTACATAACTGATTCTATAAAACTACTGTTAAATGCTCTTTTCACCACTAGAGGAGACATAGCCATTAGTTTAGGACATATTAACTGTGGGTCAAGACTTGGGTTGTTATGATACTTACAGTAGAACAATGAATTTCTTCTCTAGGATAAAGGGATACCCAAAAGAGGGTCTCATTGTATGTTATTTCTCAACTTGCCTTGTAGACCACTGTAACAGATTAGCCTTTTACTATACTGTAGCTGACTTAATTGCATAGGAATAATCCTGAGTGGACAATTTCATGCTAGTGAATCTATATAAAAGAATAGAAATTACCCCATGCATACTATCAGACTGCTCTACAATGAAAATAGAAATCAATAGACGAAAGAAACTGTGGAAAAGGCAAAAGCTTCTGGAAAATTAACAACATACTCCTTACACATAGCAGAAGAAACTACAAAATTTCTAGAAGCTAATGGTAATGATGGTACAACTTGCCAAAAACTCTAGGACACTCTGAAAGCAATTCTTACATGCCTGTAATCCCAGCACTTGGGAGGCTAAAACAAGAGGACCACTGCAAGTTCAAGGCCAGCCTGTACTACAAAGTGAGTTCAAGGCCAGCCTGAACTGCATAGTGAAAAGAAAACAACAACAACAACAACAACAAAAACCTCAAGTCATTCTAAAAGGAAAATTTACCACAATCAATACTCCCATTAGGAAAACAGAGCAAGCTCAAACAGACAATTATGAGAAATCTTAAGATACTTGAAAAATAACAACAAACCAGCCCCAAACTAAAATTAAGGAGGGAAATTATAAAGATGAATATGGAAATCACTGAACTTGAGACTTAAAAAAAAAAAATTAATACATCGAAGAACTGGTTCTTTGAAAGAATAAATAAAATAGATAAGCGCCTAGCCAGACTTGCCAAAAGAAAGAGAAAGGACTCACATCAATGCAATTAGAAATTAAAAAGGTGAAATCACAACAGACACTGAGGAAATCCAGAAGACAGTAAAACTACTTAGAAAAATTATATTCCAACAAATTAGCAAATTTTGAAGAAATGGACAGATTTCTAGACACATACGAACTACCAGAAAACATAAGAAAACATAAATATACTTAACAACCCAACAACAAGCAATGAAATTGACAAAGTAATCTAACAATTTGTCAATCTAACTGACAAAGTAAAGAAACCCAAGACCTGACAGATTCCCTGCAGAATGCTACAAAAGCTTTAAGGGTGTTATATCATCAATACTCCTCAAGCTCTTCTAAGTAATCAGAAGGGATGGAGTGCTCCCAAATTTATTTGGAAGCCAGTATCACACTGATCACAAAACCAGATAAAGACCCAACTAAAAAAAACAAACTATAGGCCAATCTCCTTAATGAAGACAAATACAAAAATCTTCAATGAGATATTAGCAAATAGAATGCAGCACATTATCAAAAAGATCATACATTATGATCAAATGGGTTTCATCTCAGAGATGCAAGGATGGTCCAACACTCATAAGTCAATAGTAATATATCATATAAACATAAGCAAGGACAAAAACCATATGATCTTATCAACAAATGCAAAAAAGGCTTTTGACAAAATTCAACACCTCTTCATGATTAAAAAAAAAAAACCTAAAGAAAACAGGTATAGAAGGACCATACCCGAATAAAATATAAGCAATATATGACAAATGAATAGTCAGCATCATACTAAATGGGGAAAAACTAAAAGCAGTCCCCCTAAAATCAGGAACAAGACAAGGATGTTCACTAGCACCTCTTCTATTCAACATAGTACAGCCAGAGCAATGAGGCAAAAGAAAAAAATAAAAAGGATACATATAGGAAGAACTCAGATTAACATTATGTGCAGATTACACGATACTCTAGATAGAAGACCCAAAAAACTCATCAAAAAATTCTTAGAATTAATAACAAACTTTAGCAGTGTAGCAGGATACCAGATCAACATACAAAATCATTAGCATTTATGTACATCAACAATAAACAGGATTAAAAGGAAATTATGAGAATAATACCATTCACAGAATCTTCAAGAAAAATGAAATATCTAGGAATTAACCTAACAAAGGAAGTGAGAGACCTCTACAAAGAAAACTACAGTACTCGAAAAAATTGAAGAGATTGAAGAGGACATCAGAAAAGGAAAAGATGCTGGGCATGGTGGC